TTTTTTCTTTTTGCTTATGTGGTGCTGAGGAATCGAACTCAGGGCCTCATGCATGCAAGGCAAGCACTCTACCACTGAGCCACCTTCCCAGCCCTCCATGAGACTCTTATCTCCAGTTAACCACCAGAAAACTGGAAGTAGTGCTGTGGCTTATGTGGTAGAGCTCTTGCCTTGAGCTGAAGAGCTCAAGGACAGTGCCCAGGCCCAGAGTTCAAGCCCCACGACCAACCAAAAAAAGAAAAAAGACTGGAAATGTCTCTATACATCACTTTGATAATAATAATTTAAAAGTTAAAAAAAAAGATGTGAAATGGAATCTCTTTTTTCTATACAATAATGTGCTCCTCTGAAAACTAAGGTTCTGACATTAAGGAGGAAGACAGGATGAATTCCAGAATATATAGCTAGGCACCCACCCATCACAGTCATTTCCACTAAGATTACATTTCACACTGAGCACCCTCCAACATAAATCTCTATGTACTAAATAACATAGTACCAGAACATATAAAGCAAAACTGTAAGATACACAATCAAATGAGTAGAAATATGCTATTAACAGGAAGCTAGCAAATGGTTGAGCTCTTGATAGGCTGCTACCAACACTGTCAGCAAACAACAGCATCAAAGCAAGAAAGGTATGGGAAAGCTAAATGATAAGTTAATAGGTTTACCTAACACATCTAATTATGTAACTTTAAGCTAAAAATACATGTTAACATCAAGTACCTACCAAATATTCACAGAATAAAATTTCAAAAGTTGTACTTAAACAAATTTTCTATTTTCTGTATTAAAATGTAAAACTAATGCTAAAAATTAAAACACCAAAAGGCCAATGAATTTTCAAACTCTTTTGAACAAAAAAAATTAAATGGAAACATTGAAGCTGGGAACTGGTGGCTCACGTCTGTACTCCTAGTTACCCAGGAAGCTGAGATCTGAGGACTGCTGTTTGTAGCCAGCCCCAGCTGGAAAGTCTCTGATACTTTTTTTTTTTTTTTCCTGGTTGTGGGGCTTGAACTCTGGGCTTGGACGCTGTTCCTGTGCTCTTCAGCTCAAGGCGAGCGCTCTACCACTTGAGCCACAGCACCACTTCCCGTTTTCTGAGTGGTTTATTGGAGATAAAAGTCTCACAGACTTTTCCTGCCTGGGCTGGCTTTTGAACTGTGATCCTCAGATCTCAGCCTCTTGAGATAGCTAGGATAACACGCATGAGCCACCAGCACCCAGCTTCTGAGACTCTTATCTCCAGTAAACTACCCCCTAAAAAACCAAAAGTGGAATACTGGCTTCAGGGGTAGAGCACTAGCTTTAAAGCAAAAAAACTCAGGGACAGGGCCCATGTCTTGAGTTCAAGTCCCAGGCCCAGCACACACACACACACACACACACACAAACACACACACACACACACACACACACACACACACACACTCACTGCCTCTAATCCTAGCTACAGGAGGCTATTATCTAAGGATTGCAATTCAAAGCTACCCTAGGCAAGAAAATCCATGAGACTTTTAACTCCAATTAACCGCAAAAAAGCTATTAGCCTTGGGTGAAAAAGCTTAGGGACAGTGCTCTGATCCTGAATTCAAACCCCAGTATCAGAATACACACATATATACAAAGAAAATATTATACTTGAAAAATATGAACTATGGCTAAGGTTATACAGATAGGACAATTCAAAGCCTCAGTCACAGCACAAACACAGAAAAAAACAAAATCAACTCACCACAGAAGATGTCATTAATCAAGAAAAAACTAAATTTAATGAAAACAGAATACTGACAAAACAGTAGAATGGATAAATAAATCAATTATTTGAAGCTTCTTGGGCAACAAAACAAAACAAAGAAACCTCATTAAAAAGTCAGGCTACCAGTTCAACTGATCTTCAAAAAGGAAGAAAACCCAAATACATAAAATTAGCAATAATAAAGAGAAAATAACCACAAAATACAGAAGAAATTGGAGTGCCTCATGAGATATGCAAAACTATGCTGAGGCAGTTAAAGACCCAGGGGACAGGGACAATTTTCTAGGAGAAATACCAATTGCACAAGAAAAGGAAGAAATTAAAATAGACCAGACACTATGAGCAAAATCAATCAAGTTGTTGACAAGCAATTGTTCCCAAGTGCCAGCTCCAAGGAATAAAGCTGCCAAAGTTCTAAGAACTCTTCCCGATGAGGAGGGAGAATGACACCTCTGAAATGATCATCACATTGCGGACGCCAGAGCCCAGAGCACAAAAATGGATAAACTCACCTGCATTATAGGTAGACCCACTGGTACCATTTACATCTATACATATAGACCTAAAAAATCTGCCTGGTGGCTTACCCCTGTAATCCTAACTACTTAGGAGGCTGAGATCTGAGGACGGTGGTTCAAAGCCAGCCCGGGCAGGGAAGTCTATGAGACTTATCTCCAATAGACCACCAGAAAACCAGAAGTGGCCCTGTGGCTCAAGCCACAGAATGCTCACTTAGAGCTGAAGAGCTGAGGGACAGAACCAAGGCCCCGAGTTCAAGCCCTGCCACTGACAAATAAAAACAAAAACAAAGACAGGGCTGGAGATATGGCCCTTCTGTATCACAAGAGCCTAGCAAACCCAAGTCCTGAGTTCAAATGCCTACTAGTGCAAAACAAAACACCAACAAAATACAATATTCAGTCTAGTTTGGAGACACTGTTAACCAATGGGGGGAAAAAGACTCATGTAAATACCAACCACATCAAAATAAATACCAACTACATCAAAGGGTTAAGTGCAAAGCCAGAGAAATGGTTGAAATGGTAGAAGAAAACACCAATTGATTTGCTCAGTTCCCTAAGACTAGCCGGGCATTAACCACCGTCTTATGAGTCAGGAATGTAAGAGCTAGGATTTGAGCCCAGGCCTGACTTCTAGTCCACAAGGCAATGGGTGGAAGTTAGACAAGTTCCTATAGCTCAGGGTCACTGGAAGGCTCCTGCGGGCAAGGAGCTGCCCAGTGGAAAAAGTGCGGCGAGCCCCGGGGGGGAGGGCAGCGTGAGTCAGCTCACCTGTTAGGACTGAAGCCCTTGGTGCACAGCAGCTGGGCCTGGTCGAGGTCTCTCGGGAAGTCATGCAGCACCCACCCTTTCTGAAGGCAGTCCTGCTTCTCCAGGCGGCCCGTCAGCACCTTCACCACCAGACTGTCAGGGACTGAAAGGAAGGACAGTGAGCACCTGCTGGTCCACAGGCTTCTTAACCTTCTAGAATCAAAGACTGAGCTGCTGAGGGCTGGGCTTAAGTGGAGCACGTGGAACCAGCTGGACAATGTGTGGCCACAGAAGACAAAGGCTCCTGAGCTGGGCAGTGTGGTGACCTTGCCCTGACCTTGACATCCACCTCATGGGAAGCCAGGGTCGTTCCCAGCCCTCCAGTGACGTGTAGGCAGTTTATGCCGCCTGTCTTAATCTGATCTGGCAGTTGTAACAAAAATATCGTAAGCTGGATAACTTAGAAACAACAGAAATTCATTTTGCACGATTCTGAAGGCTGGAGATCTAAGATCAAGGCACGTTCAGTGTTTGGTAGGGCCGACTTTTCAGGATTATGGACAGTGCCTTCTTACTGGTCCTCACATAGCAGAAGGCAAGGTGGTGGTGGGGTGTCTCTGGTCACTTTTACTTTTATTTTGTACTGAGCCTAGGGCTTGAATTCAGGGCTTGGGCACTGTCCCTGAGCTTTTGTGATCAAGGCTACAGCTCTACCACTTTGAGCCACAGCTTCATTTCTGGCTTTTTTGGTGGTTAACTGGAGGTATGCGTTTCACAGCCTTTCCTATCTAGGCTGGCTTCGATCTGCAATCCTCAGATCTTAGCTTCCTGAGGAGCTAGGACTGCAGGCATGAGCCACCTGTACCCAGCTAGGGTCAGCATTATAAGGGCACTATCCCCATTATGGGGGCTCCACCCTTATGAGTGAATTGCTTCCCCAGCATCTATCTTCCTTATACCATAACCTACCGGGCTGGGTTCCACCCTGGGAATCTGGGGGAAGACACATTCAGTCACAGCAATGCACAAAGCTCCAGTTTTGGCTGCAAACCCTTTCCAGGGAAGCTGAGTCCCCACCTAAAATTTTAGTTCTCAGATGGGAAGGAACCCGTGAGCTGGCTGCTCTGGGTTCACTCCCTTCCCCTCCCGCCCCCATCCTCCCCTCCTCCATCTTAGGATCCAGGCTGTCTCAAGAATCACAGCTCTACTTACAAGGAGAGACTGAATAAGCCCCACAGAAGAGATTTCCAAGCCTCTTGTTTACATTGCTGCAATTGACATTTTCCTGAAATTCATACCTCTCTTTCCAGAATCATTAAACGGCCCATGTTGCTAATGTAGTGCGTTCTGGCAATTTGCTCTGCATTTCCTGCTCTTTGCACTCATTTTCCCAGGAATACTGGGTAAATGTTACCACTGTTTGCTGTGAACATGGCCCAAGTGAGGCTGCTCTGCTAAAGGTGCAGCCATTGAACATTGGAAGTTTCTCTAGAAGCTTCCTCCTACCAACCATGCTCTCTGCATGCCCTAATGCACACGTGTGGGCCTCCTCAGGCCCAGGCTGTGGGGAGTGAGAGGCGAACGGCCTCCCAGACCCTCCCTCCACCCTGTGAAGCACAAATCTAAGCTATGTGCCTCTCCTGAAATGTGGTCTTTTAGGCCAGTGTGGTGGTACAAGCCTGTAGCCTCAGCTACTTGGGAGTCTGAGGCTAGAGGATTACAAGGTAGATACCAGCCTGGTCAACTTGGTAAGACAGACTGTATTTCAAAATTAAAAAAAAATAAAGAAAAGGCCAAGTGACAGCAACTAATTCTGTTAAGACTAGCTATTCCGAATGCTGAGATCCAGTTCAGCTCAGATAGAAAAGTCCATGCATTTCCAGGGCTGAAGGTGAGGCTTAAGTAACGGAGCACTAACCAACAAGCAAACTGTGTGAGTTCAAATACCAATACTTCCAAAAAATAGAGAAAGAACACACAAGCTGGTGGGAGGAAACATAGCTCAGGGGTAAGGAGAACTCTTTCCTAGCAGGTATGAGCCCTGGATTTGATCCCTAGTAACACAAGGATG